TTACTTGAATTCGTCTGCCTGTACAAATATTTTTCGTCTATTCTTCATCTTAGTTCGATATGCAGTGTATCATAGCAAAGGCTGGCAATTGCTGCTTGTTTCATCTTTTGCATATCGGTGGCCTTTAAAGCTGTGACTCGCTGTATAAAAAACTACTGAAAAATAGAATAAGATCATCAGCTGTCAATTTTGGATTTACTTCCGCAATTCGTTTCGATAAAGGCACGCTACAGAAATATCAACGTGTCTATAACTTCATTCCCCTGGTTTTTCTCCGAGTGATAAGGCTACTACTGTCTTATCCATGTGCATCACGTTCCACGCAAATGCCCTCGACAGCTTACGTAATAGCGATCTTTCCTATACCATTTTGATCTCAATCTCAATGGAGATCTTCATTGGTTTCGTTCAGTTTGATCTGAAACCTGGAGGGCGATTCTGGACAACTAACAGAACATCGCATTTTTGTGTTTTCACAATATTTTGCTATCGCCGAACACAACACGGGTACTTCTGCAGATTTTGTAATCTACTATATCGGTCACAAGCATGTGATGTCATCCCATACCCCATCAAGTTGAGACAAACGTTCAAGGGTAAGGGTAACCTCTAAAACCTCTATAATAGCCTCTATAAGCCTCTAAAACTAGCAAGACAACCACTTTGGCTTGTCAGCGTACGACGTGGTGACAGACGCGGCTGAAGTCATCATGAAGGTAATGCCGAGAACAGACTACCTATGCATTGACCGATGTTGCGCTGGCTGAACATTTGTGGGTATATTCGATCCCATCATGTTGGTTTGAAATCCATGTACAATGCCTAGTTGTCGGAACTTGGCTTACCCGTAAACAAACGTGTAAAACCGGTAGACCAACGTGTGATCACGAATACACATGCCTTGCCACGTGCAGCGACGGACATTTGTGCTACCACGAGCACTCTCTCTCTCTCTCTCTCTCTCTCTCTCTCTCTCTCTCTCTCTCTCTCTCTCTCTCTCTCTCTCTCTCATCTCTCTCTCCTCTCTACTCTCTCTCTCAGCTCTCTCTCTCTCTCTCTCTCTCGTCTCTCTCTCTCTCTCTCTATCTCTCCTATCTCTCTATAGGTCTATCTCTCTAGCTCTATCCTACCTATCTATCTCTCTCTCTCTCTCTCTCTCTCTGATATATCTCTCTCTCTCTCTCTCTCTCTGTCCCTGTCTCTGCCTTTCTCTCCCCCTTTCTCTCTTTCTATTCTTGCTGTTCCCAGATAAATGGTGGCGATTTTGCGTTGCTCAAGCCCTATTTATTGACTCCTGTGTACGGTTTCGCCACATATGGTAAATCTTTTACGAAATTAACGAAGCTAACGCCCCTCGTATCAATACAAGGGACGTGGGCAGTGAGGCTTGCGGAAGCGCCATATTGCAATACCGTAGAGGGCAAATCGCGCCCATTGACCTAGCCGGCCTACAAGTTCTTTGGAAACTGCTGCACAGCTTTAAAAAAGCTGATGACTGTTGCTGAAAACTGCATGGCGCTATGATCAGCGGGTGCATAGATACAAGGCCATTAATGCTCGACTGGCCAGCCCGGGCCTAGCTGCTGTTTCCGGTTAGCTGAATGCAATGTTGGCCTCGCTCGTGCTAGCAAACAAAGGTTCAACCTAGTCTGGTCTGCTTTCAGCCTTATTCTGGTGAACAATTGATGGCTCTGGTAATGCAGGTGGCTTTGTAGTACCGACAGCCTGCAGTGCGTTCTCACAGTGCGATAAGCTTAGGTTCGGCAGAGGAGATCCAGCATGTACTCGGACTGTCCGATTTGTTGCGGGGGTGGGGGGGCTGTGTTGGTAGTCGTGCGTGCCACCTGTTAATATCGTCATTGGTATCGTGCGTCAATGTCGAAACGAATGAGAGGCAGACTAAGTGGCTGGAATATCAAATGCAACCATAAACATGTGATTTATGCTCAGAAAGTGCACGTAAACAAGCTGAAACATAATCAGTTCATGCAGTCATTGTTGTGACGATATGTGGTGATTGATATTGTCATCATACAACAGCCGGACTTCATAGCACTGCGAATCGGAAACACCAATCGCAAATCAACACTAGTTTCTCCGATGACTGAACTTGTGTATAGCACGCTTCCGGGGCGAGGAGGAAAAGTGACAGGACAGAGACGGGCATCACCCGAGCGGCGATGACGGAGGCCACCTAAACGCGCCGACTGAGGACGACAAACGGCGTACAGCTCAATCAGCATTCCAGAATACATTTGCTGAGCATCAAGTTGGCAGTTGAGTGTACAGTATGTTGATGACGTTAATCCATTACTCCAGGGCGGGCTTAAAACGTTTCAGTCATGGCAATAGCAAAGGCGCACTATCTTTGTAGCAGGGACATCATCACAAAAGCCTTTGCATCGGCCAATCAAGAGCGTCATGAAACGGAACCGTTGTGGATCATGGACTTGTGTTCAAAAAGTGCAACGACTCGGAAAATTGCAAATGAAAAACACCAAAAGTAGATTATAATCCTATAAGTCTCACGTTGAACCATTGGTAGCATGTTGTCATGTTCACCTATCAAATTACTTATCCTTATGAAGTGAGCCCAAACTCTATATATTATTGCATAGAACATCTGCTCGCTGAAGGCACGGAGTGTAAAGCCAGACATCATCACGAGTGAAGGATGTTGAGGAACGTTGGTAAGGGCTGACTGAAAATGCACGAGGACAAGCATCGCGCGTTGGCACAGCATTGAGCAGTCTTTCAACCCAAAAGTTGATGCGGCTAACGTCATGCAAGCCATACCGCGGCCATGATGATGATCATCATCATAAACACCGTGTATCCCATTCGCATCTTCGTAAACAGGTGTGTCAGTTCATAACCCTGTGCAAAGGTCACACTTCTTCACTGAGTCGAAGGGAACATGCAAACCACCGTGTTCGTCTCCCCCGTTCCCGCCGCCAACACGCTGGCGTGTGTCCACGCTGACCGTAACTCGCTTACCGGTCACACGGTCGACCGCCCGTCAAAACACCGGGTCGCACTCGAGCCGCCGCCCGCACGCCGGCCGGCCGAGCAGAGCAACATCGCAGACCAACGCTTAAGTATCTGACGGGCGCAAACAAGTCTGTCTATTGATCGCCGTCGTCTTGTTCGGCGGGCCCGGCGAGCAGCAGCTGTCTCGGCGCTGAGACGCGCGAACAGCTGCTAAACGACGGGGTGCGGCCACGAGTCGCCGGCCACTGGTCCGCTCGCTGCCAGTCCCGGCGCCGCTTCACCACAGCCGCCGCTCGCCGCCAGTCCCGGCACCGCTTCACCACAGTCGCCACCGCCGCCACTCCCGGAGCCGCTTCGTGGCGGTCGATGACAACCGGCTCGCATCGCACCGTTCTTCAAGCGAAGCCGTCTTGTTCGCTGGTGACGCCAAACGCCGCCGGCTGGTGGGCGGCTCGCGGGCGAGCACCGCCGGAGAGCACCGAGGCCGTGCCGCACCGCCGCCGGCTGGCGGGCGGCTCTTGGGCGAGCACCATGGCCGTGCCGCACCGCCGCCGGCTGGCGAGTGGCTCGTGGGCGAGCACTGCGGCCGTGCCGCACCGCTGTCGCTACTGGACCCCTGCCATTGGGATCACCCGTGGTATAATAGCCACCACATCCGTTCATTCGTATGGGTCATTCGACCGCATTCTCCGCCGCAGTTTCGACAGAATTTCTATGAGTATCTCCAGAAGACCGACATGCCTGTTACATTCTATCACAAAGAGTTTGCGTCCAACCCAAGTGGTATATCTTAGAGACAAAACAAACTGGACCAACTCAGCTAAGTCGCCGTTGAGCATCCTGCCGTGGGCAAAATGTTCATTGTTCCGATCTTGCTAGTCGCTGCACGCACAACGAAAATGCATTGCTGGGACGCGGCAAAGGACGTTAAATGACGAGCTGTCTGTACCGGGGCCTGAATGATGACGTGGGGAGGAAGCCTAAGTTCTCAGGGCATGACAATCACTTCTCATGTCTGGCATCTGCGTGGCATTATTCAGGACACTGAGGCCTCAGCCACCTTCCGTGAATGATAGCCAAGTGTGCGGAGCGATAATGACTGATAATGCACTTTCCTACGCCCGAATACAAGATAACAGGAAGATGGCCTTAACTTAATTTTCGCTATAGCTGTGTCGTAATGTCATTGAATGCCGGGAACCACCAGCGCTTGTAAGTGTATTGCTATAACTTGCATTATGTCGATTTTCTTTTTATTAAGTTTTTTTTCTTACTGAATATCTGTTTAGCAAGTGACATATTTTCAGTAAAAACTAGGACAAACGACACTTCCATACTGCAGGAACATTGTGATCTAGGTCCAGTCGCCTTAACCACTGCGCGTGTCGGCGATTTTCCTTGTTCCCATGATTTTTGGTCTTAAACCATCGCTTCGTTAAACGATGTGACAACATAACTCGCTCCAATGGACAGTGAGACGTGGCCTACGAATCTGCTCAGCAACTTGAATCGTTCTGTCAGCACCTTTTCCTCAAATATTTCTATCACCTTGCGTCCGACATGAGTATCCAAATACTTCCACAGGATTCCTGAGGCAGCTTCCGAAGATTGCCTAATACAAAAACGATACCACAGCTGCGTTGGGCTGCGTCCGGGACCAGGGGTGGCGCGACGCCTCGCGATCTGCCAGGCCGCGCTCGACAGGGGCCGGCCGGTTGGTGCCATCAGATGCGACAATGCGCAGGCCGCGCTCGACAGGGGCGGGCCGCCTGATGTCATCAGATGCGACGATCAGCCGGCTGATGCCATCAGATGCAACGATGCGCAGGCCGCGCTCGACAGGGGCGGGCCGGCTGATGCCATCAGATGCGACGATGCGCAGGCCGCCGGGGACCGCCGCCCGGCCGTGCGGCGCCGTTACGTCACACCGGTGACGTCAGCGGGGCTACCTGGCGGCGGCGGCGGCGGTCGTGGCGTCAATACGGAGCGGCGAGCCGAGCCAGCCGGCGCCGTCACCAGAGCACTACTTGTGCCGCCGCTGCCGGTGAGTGGCACCCCGATGCGCCCGCCCGCCGGCCCGGCGCCCAGTCCCAGTCCCGCCTACCCGCACTGCCGCCGTGGAGTCCTGGTGACGAACCAGCTGACCCCCGCGGGAGCCGACTCAGGGGCCGGTTTGACGCGACTCAGCGACAGGTTTGACGTGACTCAGGGGCCGGTTTGACGCGACTCAGGGGCTGGTTTGACGCGACTCAGCGACAGGGTTGACGCGACTCAGCGACAGGTTTGACGCTGACTCAGGGGCCGGTTTGACGCGACTCAGGGGCTGGTTTGACGCGACTTAGGGGACGGTTTGACGCGACTCAGGGGCCGGTTTGACGCGACTCAGCGACAGGTTTGACGTGACTCAGGGGCCGGTTTGACGCGACCCGCTACCCCAAAAAGCTGGTGCTGAACTAACCTTACGACCTGCGAGTCGCATCTGCGGGGCGCTCGTACCGATTGACTGGCAGCCAGTGAGTGTTAGTCTTTCTGTGTCTAGCTCCATCCGGAGCGTGTATCAGTTTACCGATGCTGCCTACAGTGGCACGTTTTTTTAACATTTGGTCCTCTAAAAAAGTTCTGTTGATTTGTAGATAGAGACTTGTACTGGGAAGCGCTCCCATTGCTCAATCCACCCGCTACTCCTCGGCTGTGCCCATACCCACCTGCTGCGCGTGGGCCGTGTTCATACCCACCCGCTGCCCACTCCGAATCAGCGGTACCCAGCCGTTAGCGCTTTTTCCAATACTGCGCTTCTTAATCATGGAAGAGTTTCAGGGAAGCTCTTATGCTTACTTTTTGGTATAAATGATTGCAAAAGATTGCGAATGGGGCTAGTTGTGACAGAAGGACGACGAAGAGGTGACTTAAATATTTTTTGGAGGTTCTATCCAATATTTTCTAAATATCTTACCCGTAGCTGTACCCATATCCATCATTTTTCAACATCTGCACCCAATCCAGCAAGCTATCCATTCCATATGTGTATATATGGATTTCCCATATACCCTTCTCTACTTGTAGAATGGAAGTCAATGAATGCGTAACGCAATTTTGCGATGCAGAATATGTTTCCGGCTTTAAAATGTCGTGACACCTCGATGGATTAAGCAGTCCACAGTGCTTGTCAAGACGCATTCACGGCATGCTGTACTTACTCGGCCCGCCCGTTTAAGTAACGAACGCATGCGACATTTTTAAGGGCCTAATTATCATATAAGCTAGAACTAAATTCTAAGACAAGAACTAAATTATCCCTACACCAAACCGTAAGTGCACTGCTCATTCAATCTTTTAGATTAAGTGACATCAGCTCGAAATGACAACGTATGGCTATAACCACACAAGACGTTATATGATCCGGTCTCGCTTGAAAAACAGCCTACTCGATCACCTCGCTCAGAAAGTGACAGGTCGCCGCATTCAAACAGCGACAGGTCGCCGCACTCAGACAGCGACAGCTCGCCCCGTTCAGACAGCGACAGCTCACTGCGCTCAGACAGCGACAGCTCGCCGTACTCAGACAGCGACAGCTCGCCCCGTTCAGACAGTGACAGCTCACTGCGCTCAGACAGCGACAGGTCGCCTCGTCCAGACAGCGACAGCTCGCCCCGTTCAGACAGCGACAGCTCGCCTCGCTCAGACAGGGACAGGTCGCCTCGGTGAGAGCGGTGCGCTCAGACAGGGACAGTTCGCCTCGCTGAGACAGCGACAGCTCACCTCGCTCAGACAGTTACAGCTCGCCTCGCTCAGACGACAGCTCGTCACGCTCAGTCAGCGACAGCTTGCTTCGTTCAGCAGCGCGGTACAGTGCTGACCTTAACTCCCCGCGCTTTTGAGGGGCGAGAGACCCTCTGAAAAGGGTTCTGAATTTCCACACTTATTTATGGAAATTGTGCACGACGACTTTATCAAAATCGTGCCATTTCTCTTCGAATGGTGTTCAGGAACTTCCAGCCCTCCTCACACCACGTCCACACACCGAATGGTAAGAACACATGCACATTCCATACGCGTGACTCGTCAGGACAAGTTTCTGCGACTGCGGCGGGAGCTGTGTCAATTAGCTAACCTCTCATAATCTGGGTTTCCTTCCGTTCACTTCACACTTTCTTTCACTTCCCGCCGCAGAGCCTCACTATCGCCTCCGTTTAGTTTGTTGATTTTGTTAGGCTAAATTAGGGAAGAATTGCTTCCCGCATCTATTCAAAACTACCAGACTTTCTTTTCCCGGCGTTGGGTAATGCCAGGCCGAACGGTCTTACTTCAACTATCCGTTGTCTGCCGATGTTAGCTGGTGGCAGGCTCACTGTCGTCTTACCTCGCTGTCAAGCCTTACTTCAACTATGACAGCAAGCCACCTCGGGTTTGCCGGCCGGGCTGATCTGAAACCGACAGTGCACTTACTTGCCATTGTACATGTCTGCTGCAGGCTACACATATGATCGCATTTTACAAGTGTCATGCCATAGGTATATGATAGCCAAGAATGCCATGCCTTAAAAAGCTCTCGCAGTACCAGTATATCACGGGAGTTTTGAAAAAAATGGAGCATTTCGCATGAGCATGTAATCCATATCGCTTAGTTATGGATTGAACGATCTCTTCGTACAGGCATCAGTAACATTATCAGTATTTTGAAAACCATCCACATGGTGGCTTTTACGGTTTCAGACACTGGTCATGTTTCAAATTGCACACAAGGGCAGTGTAAAAGGTGCGCAGTTTAAGTATATAATAAAGATATACGAGCCATGGTCAAAATGTTTGGTCAAATGGAGCAATGGTCAGAGAGTTCACACAGACCAATCTATGCACTATGGACCCGATCAGGTCAGTGGTCAGTTATCAAAATCGTAACATGTATAGAGGTCTTAAACGTGCTCAGTGTTGTGGCATCACAAGCGCACAATGGCAGGCGGTTCCAGACAGCTGCGGCTCGATGCGGAAATGCCCTCTGTGTGGCGGTCAGTCGATGTTTGCGCAGGTGCAGACCGCCTCCGTTCGAGACGCCGGTTTCACGGGTCAAAACAGCGGTGCGTGGCACAAAAGTGCGAGGACTTCGTGAGACGCGCCTACCTTTTTCAGCGCCCTAAGCACTCTAATCACACCGCGGTGCGCCACCATCGCCTCGATCCTCGGCCATCCCAGGGAATTTAGAGCGGACTTATGTGATGGTGCTTTTTGGAGCCAGTGAAGATGATTGGTTTTATTAATTTTGTGCAGATGACACCCGGTCGCCGCACCCTCACGCATTGGCAGTATGCCATATGAGGGACCATTTACGCCTGGATGATGATTTTGAGAGGATTTGAAGTGAAAGTAATGGCGGATTTGTATAAAGAAAAGACAAATGACAAAACTTTCCTCTATTACTCCACTCATCACTTAGTTCAGAGCCTCAGTTCGACAAATTTGTCCACTGCTTTGAGTTTTACCTAGACCTACGTAGTATTGATTCCTGAGTAAAAAACGCAACTACTGCTATAGTTTCAAAAAGTCTCCCACCCCTCCCCAAACGAACTAGCTGTGGGTGTCAGCGCCTATGTCATAATAAACATGTTCCCATTAACAGGCAGGCACTGATCGTAACCCATGGTGTGGCTTTTTCCGACATCACGCTTACCGTTTCATCAACACACAGGATCCATCACCCACTGCTCAGTCCATACCGACACCTACTGGGTGAACGTGTCAGGTTTCATTTGGGATTGAGACGTAGACCTGGCTGCTACCATGTTTTTGCTCCTACGCAAAGAATATATTAACGAGGCCGCGGTGTGTGTCGTTCCACACAGTCGCATGCTCGTTTTTCTAGACGTCCGGCCATTTTCGTAACAATGTTTTACCCGTCGCGTCCCAACTCACAGCGGTCGTCGCGCGGCTGGACAGCGATGCTTCAAGCCAAGCCACTGGTCAGCACGGCTTGACAGCAAGGCTTGAAGCCGAGCCGCTGGTCAGCACGGTTTGACAGCGATGTTTGGAGCCGAGCCGCTGGTCAGCACGGCTTGACAGTGAGGCTTGCAACCGAGGCGCTGGTCAGCACGGCTTGATAGGGATGTTTGGAGCCGAGCCACTGGTCACCACGGCTTAACAGCGAGGCTTGAAGCCGAGCAGCTGGTGAGCACGGTTTGACAGTGATGTTTGGAGCCGAGCCCCTGATCAGCACGGCTTGACAGTGAGGCTTGCAGCCGAGCCACTGGTCAACACGGCTTGATGGGGATGTTTGGAGCCGAGCCACTGGTCAGCACGACTTTACAGCGATGTTTGGAGCCCAACCGCTGGTCAGTACGGCTTGACAGCGAGGCTTGAAGTCGAGCCGCCGGTCAGTACGGCTCGACAGGGATGTTTGGAGCCGGACCACTAGTCATGGCTTGACTGCGAGGCTTGCAGCCGAGCCGCTGGTCAGTACGGCTTGACAGCGAGGCTTGAAGCCGAGCCGCTGGTCAGTACGGCTCGACAACGATGTTTGGAGCCTGACCGCTGGTCAGCATGGCTTGACAGCGAGGCTTGAAGCCGAGCCGCTGGTCAGTACGGCTTGGCAACGATGTTTGGAGACGAGCCGCTGGTCAGCACGGCTTGACAGCGAGGCTTGAAGCCGAGCCGCTGGTCAGTACGGCTTGACAGCGAGGCTTGAAGCCGAGCCGCTGGTCAGGCGATGTTTGGAGCCGAGCCGCTGGTCAGTACGGGCGTCAGACGATGCCACGCGTACGGCCATTAGCCATCACATAACATCGAGGTCAAGCCAATGTGCGAGGCTGGCGAGCTAGTCAAGCTGTATTTGTGCCGGTATAATAGGGCCCGTCACGCAAGCCGTGAGTCAACAACCGGGTGAAGTTTCTGTTTGAGGTTGTATTGGTATGCATAAGTGCGTGATGCTTGTTGAGCGATTCAACCTAGGGAACCACTCAGGGGAAAACGGCAAGGAGAATTTAGGAGACTGAGCCTCTAAAAAAACCTCTTGAGCTAATTGCATACCAAGCTGTGGCATGCGCTCCTGATTTC